AGCAGGCTCGGTGGAAGTGCTGTCCCCACTTACTGGGCAGGCCCCCTCCCACCCACAGGCAGGCTCTGGTATTTCGTGTGCTCCTCACGGCACTTAAAAAGGCTGATGAATGACTCCGACAGCAGAGCTCCTTCCTCCTGCAGATGAGGAAACAGGTAGCGCTCTCCTGCTTGCAGACTGGCATTTTAAAAAAAGATCACACAGAATTCAAACGTCTTTTTGAAACAATGGATTTAAAAACGCTTTGTTTCTGAGAAAGTCACTCACTCACGGCATATTCATTATCTGTACTCAAAAACTGTTGTTAATACATAATAAGTTCCAGAACTATGATTTTTAACTGGCCTTTTTTTTTTTTTAGACTTTTTTTCCCTCCTGTGTTGCTTTCCAGTCAGGACAATCTCAGCTTTTTGTTTCCTGTGTATGTTCTGCTGCTGTTGACATAACCTGTTAAAACTAGTCCCTTGAAGTCACCCACGCACTTCCTCCCCTCTGGAATACCTTGTTGCAAGGATTTATTTTCACAGCTTGTTCCCGAGTGTTTGCTTTCACCTTTCAAAGTTTGCTATTTATTGGTTTATCAGAATCTGCATTTTGAAAGGTGCCGTGCTGAAGCCTTGTAAGCTTATCTTGCATGCAGAAAATGCTGATTTGAGGGGACCTTTTCCTGCAGGGGCTTGCCTACCGCTACGGTGGCTTTGTGCTTACCTAAATCTGTTTCCTATTGATTGGATTCAGTCACTGTAACTATCTGAAACAGAGGCAGTTAATGAGTCAAGTCAGTACTTTTATAGTGTTATAATTGTATTTGCAACAAACAGGTGCAGTTATTTAAACTCTATTATGCTTATTTTAGCAGTTAGTGACCTTGATGTGAAAACAATGGATTAAAAAAAGCCCCAAACAACAACCCAAAAAACTTTAACAGATCCTCCGACAAATGGATCCCACTTCATGCCCAAATGCAGATCTGGGGCCCCAGACAGCAGCATAATACTTGGGTCTCAATGAGATTTAACAAAGCAAAGAACTTAAAAACCGATGTAGAAGTAGTGAATTGGAGACAAGGTTGGCGTTCCTTTTAAGTGTGTGACAAGCCCTGGTACGTTGTCATTAAAACTCACAGCTTTTGAGGGAAATCATTGTGGCTTTCAAAAAGAAGCTTCCAAAAAAATAAAGCTCTGGTTGAGTAGCAGCAGGGTGACAATTTAAATGAAAAATATTTTTCTATTCTATAATTAAGTGAAGACCGTGTATGCAACAATATTACAAACCCCCAATATTTGTACATCATTGGTTTCAACTAAGGAGCCTAAATGCCACCTTTACCTTAAGTAAGTTCATTACGCTTGGATTTTTTGATAAAGTTTAAAAAATCTGATCTCATTTTAAAAAAAAGATTCTTAGGTTCAGAGTAAGATAAGAATTTTTTTTTTTAAGTTTTATTTTTTAAAAGTGAACCCTCTCCTCCCTTTGGTAATTTCAAATTTTAAAGTTATCATCCACTTTGCAAAAGTTTTCATGAAAAGTACAAAGAAAAAAATACAGGTGTGGGTTTTCTCCAACATCTGAAGTCTTGTTTATTGTAGTTTTGAGTGCCTGTATGAAAGGGGTTTGGTTTTTTGGGGTTTTTTTTTGTTGTTTTTTTTTGTTTTAGGTTTAATGAATGTTGCCATACCTGAGATCCTCTGCTTTTCATGTTCTAGGTGTTTTTATGAAGGCACCTTTACTTCATACGTGATCAGAGATAACAGTGGGGTTTTGAATTAAGTATGTATGTTCACTGACAACTTGCTACTGTTAGAGAAGACTTCAGGGAGTGTACCAAGTTAACAGCCATTTGGAAATCATTACTGTTCCTAGCCTTCTCTACCTAAGCCAGATTAAGAGTTTAAATTATGGTTAAATAAAAAGGCTAGCCATGTTTGCTAATGTATACGCTTTGAGACTTAACCTGTTAACACAGTTCCCGAACAAAAGGAAAGGGAGAGAACCGTAGCTCAATTACACGATAACATTTATGCTGGCCTTCTCGTCCATCTATCCAACAGCAAAAAACTGCAGCTTACAAGGAGCATAAATGTACACAGTAGTTTTGATGTTTTAAAGTCATGCAGTCATCAAGGCGTTGTCAGAAATGAAGGAATACGTGCAATTCTCATTTCCAAAAGAGGTATTACTTGCTTTGTAAAAAAGAAATTAGGTGGGCAAGACCTAACCTGTAGTAATGCAAACAGAAGACCAGCACTGTAAATCTTACCCTGCAGGAGGCAGATCCATCAGTTCTGGTTCACGTTCCAGCAGCTATAAGCCTTATTTAAGACTCACTGGACCTTGTGGAGCCCTTTTTTATTTTTGACTTTTTAATGACTCTTGTGCATTTGGTCCTGCAACATAGTAGAATTAAAATAAAACCCCAAACCTAACTGCTTTTTCTTTTGCAGGGGGACAGTATCTTACCATCTCCGACCCTAAAGGCAAAGAAGGAAGAGCAGCGCATCTTATCCTGCCGTTGGGTCACATGGCTCAGGCCGGCGACTTGTGCCTGTCGTTCAGGCATAAGGTGCCTGGACTGCATTCTGGTGCCCTCCAAGTCTTTGTAAGGAAAAACGGCGCTCACGGACCAGCTGTTTGGGGAAGAAATGGTGGCCACGGCTGGAGACAGACACACATAACTTTACGAGGACTAGGCATGAAGAGTGTAAGTACCAACGGATCTGCTGCCTTCTGGTTTTTTTTTGCATGAGAAGCTAAGACACTTAGATGGTGTAGCACTGGACTGTTTGTCTTCTGGGTCCATTTTCAGCCTGTGTTTTACTTATTTGGTCCTTGCCAATGGAATTACATTAAGGATAAGAGAGGAATTGTGCATTTTGTCAAATTAGTTTTTTGCAAAAAAATCCCACCTACAGCAATAGACACGTAGGAAACTACAAAAAAGCCTGGACTGAGCTACCTCGTAGAGCCTGTTTTCAGGGAATTGCCATGGAGGAAAGGGCAGTTTAATGAGCAATGGCATACTGTACATGGATTTCCAAAAAGCCTGGATCAGGATTTCTCATGAACAATGCTTTAAATAATACAGTGCCATGAAATAGGAAGAATTAGTAACTGGCTAAACCAGGGCAGAGATACTGAAAGGAAGTCATTTTTGATAATGCAGGGAGGTTACCTGTGCTGTCTCACGTGGTTTTATGCTCTTCAGCACACCTGCAGCTGATCTGGACAAGGAGGGAAATGATGACCTACCTGTGCCAATAACACAAAATGGTTTAGCGCAACCAAAAGAAGAGCTGTCTGAAGTGCCATGGAGAATCTGTTAATACCTGGAAACCTTAGAAACATTGGGTGATAAACTGATATATCAAAAGCTCAGCATTTTTCTTCAACCTCTGCTTAGCTTTGAAGGTAGTTTCTATTTCAGATCTGAAGAAGGGCCTTGTGTGCTTCAGGGCCTGTTTTGCTCTGATTTATATCAGGTGGTCTAAAAAAAAGCTCACACATCATAATGTTCATGGTGGGAGCAGGCTACAACACACACCCAGTGTATGGTTCTAAAATTAATATTAAGGCTGTCATTACTGCAGTTAATTTTCTGAAAACTTTACCTCAGCAAAAGTAACAAAGACACCTGACCTTCTGTTAGCTGTAAATGAATATCAAACTGAGACTGTGGAATTCTATAGCAGGTGAACAATATATTTGCCCCATTCTTACCCTTTTCCACCAAGTTTAACACTTCTCGTAATCCTCAGGTCTGTCTCACCTTATAGAGCAGTTCATTAAGTAAGTGTGGATTACTGACATATTGTCTGGCAGAAAAGCAAATGAGTTTTAGAGAGGGCAGACAAGACCAGCAGTCCCCCCTTGCACTGTCCCCTGCCTCTCTTGACCACCGCAGCAGGAGCTGTCAGCGTGGCTTGCCGGGCGTAACCCGTGGCCGGCCCACGGACCAGAGCTGCCTCACGGCACCTTACGCAACCGTCGCGTTTGGGATCTTTTCCAGCCAGCACGGGGAGCCTGGGCTGCTGACCTGACCCACTGTGACATTTATTCCAAGGACCAGGGACTGAGAGAAAACTCTAGGTAAGCAGGGAAGGCCTCTGCCACAGAGAAACTAGGAAGAAATATGGAAGCTTTATTTTCTAGCTAATTTAAAACCAAAAGCAACTAAACACTAGTGATTTAAGGGCGGCCTACTGGAAACCTGAGGAGAATATGAATGGAGACCAGAACCCTTCGTCACATTTTCTAATGAATTAGCTCTGTGTAAATTATTTCTAAAAAAATAATTCATTTATTCAACACAGAGTTGAATAAAAAAAATTCTGAATTATTTCTAAAAAAATAATCCAGTATGTTCAACGCAGAGTTTCTCTGACCTCCTCTGTTCCTACTCCTGATTTGAAAGTGTGCTTTCAGCAAGCATCCAAATTATTTTTAACTACACAGCTGAATTTCTGATCTGTATTAACTTTTTCCAGCTCAATGATAACAGCCGAGTCTCACAAAGTTTTGCTGTAGGCTTTGAATAATTTTTAAGCCATGGTCAAAAACACTGACCATATTAAACAGTTCAGGCTTCTGAATCTACAGCAGTAGCACAGGTGAGCAATACTGGTTTATGGCAAGTGTTTCTTAAAGTTAGCTGGCCATTCTGTGTATCATCTGATTTATGCTCCAGTCCTTCTAGTCAAGCTTTCTGTGTTGAATTTTCCTACTCAGGCTAAATCTGGCTTGCTAACGACCTGCTTCAATCCATGCCCAAAGTTCCGCCGCCATTTTGCGAGGAGCCAGCAAATTAGATGGATTTATCTGTAGATTACCGCGAGTCTGCAGGAGCCAGAATTTGTTAAATATAAGATGGGTGTTTCTAGTTCCCATCAGTAAGGCAGCTGGAAGGTGCTTTAGCAATGGAAGGCTCCATTAGACAACGTTTTTCAGAATACAGAGGATTTTATGCGTTTGTCATGAGGGACAATGGAAACAGTGCAGAGATGACAGGTAGAAAGTGTCCGAGATTCTCTTACGTGGAAGTTCATCTCACCTCAGCAGATGGTGCAGCTGGAGCAACACTGTCCTGAACTGCTGGTTCTTCACAAAGATCCTGCCAAGGTGAAGAAGGGAGAGGATCAGAAATAGAAAAAGACAGCCATAATTCTGAGCAGAATAAATAGGCTTTTGTGAGTCAGTTACGATTGCCTGAGCTTTCTTATGCTTTTGCTTCCTTGCTGTTGAGACCTCTCGCAACCAAAGCTTCTTTCATTTTACTTTATTTTTGCACTCAAATTGTTCTATTTCTCTTCCCAGGTTATTTTCAAAGGGGAGAAAGGGAAAGGAAGAACTGGGGATATTGGGCTAGATGATGTGATCTTGAGGAGAGGACGCTGCTCTGAAGAGCATTAGCAGAGACAATGGACCAGCACAGTCATCTCCTCTAGCCCTTCTCATGCTATTCCTACCAAGCTTTGAAACAAAACTGCACAAAGAAGAAGGAAAAGTTGGAGATTGCCGACTTCATAGTGACCTGCTAAGTGCAATCTCACTGAAACTTTACTTAAAAACATGGAGAGCACCTCCCCGGATTCAGGAACTCCACTCTTGTGCTGTTTCTTTCTATTAATCCTTACCCCTATATCATAATTTGCATGTAGTAACTTTATCCCCTGTCAAGCCTGGTGAGTGCTCACACAAAGAGCACTTGTGAGAAAGGGAGAATGAATTACAAATGGTGGCAAAAGAAAGCTCCAGCTCAGAAAGTTTTAGTGTTAACTGATATTCATTAGTGCTACTCTTTCATTGATTAGATTTGATAGACAGTGGGATGGGTCTGGCTTCAGAGTCACCTCGGATTAGCGGAAGCCTGGACCTGAACTTTGGCTTACTGCCAACCTTTGAAGAAGGGGTTGCTTCATATTAAATAGCATTTATTTTGGTGTTGCATCTGTATTAACAAAAAGCAGTTATATAGAGTAGGCACTGCATCCTGTAATGTTGCTACTGCTGTGTTTTGTGTATATCTGTATGGTTATTAACATATTTATGTTTTTAATATTTACAGACTCTAGTTGCAAGGTAATTGGCAGCTGTGCTTTCTTATTGTACAAGACAGGAGTTCAGCATATCCTTTGATCCCGCTGGTCGTGCCAATAGATACGTTACCAAAGTCAGTTAATGGTGCTCATTGAAAAATGCTGGTACCGTTTTTCATGTTGTAATATGCTGAAGGCAAAAGACCAAACCCTTACCTGATGTAAACTGGCATCTGATAATGCTGTACAAGTTTGCATTTAGCTCAGGAGCAAGCCCTAAAGGGCTCTCAATCCTGCGAGAAACTCCTGGTCCAGTTGAAGACTGAGCAGCCTGGAGAAGGTAACTTGCATCTTGTAAGATTGAGCCCGTTGACAGCACCGGGAATGTTCCCTTCCCACGGGTGGTACGCAGGGGCCTGCGCACGAGCAAAAAGGGCAGCTGCATTAATGCTGTGTGAACGATTCAGACCATGAAATGCCTTGAGTCATCTTTGTCAACTGTCCTTATTCCATCCAGCCCTTCTGTATATAACAAACCTTTTATTCTTTAGAACTAGAACAACTATTAGCTCTAGCTGGAACCGAATATTTATCAGAACTTTGGACTAATTTTATAGTTATGTATCATGCATGTGGCGTGCAGTTTCCCAGGGGATTCTTCTGTTTGGTTTGGGATTTTTTAAACAAGGAACCATCATCACTGCTAACAATTCTAAATTTGACAAAGTAATTGTAATGTTTAAGAAAATGACAAAAGCTGGATAAAATGTTGTTAGTGGTGCTGCCTTAAAGCTTCAAAACTGTATATATAGAAGAAATAGGTCTCAGATCTTTTAAATACTGAAATACAATATGAAATAAATGTCAGCTTCATATCATAAAACCATCATTAAAAAAAATTCACGTTAAGCCTTGCCACAAAGTCCACAGAGACAAAATCACGAGACCATTAGAGGTCATATTCCAAACGCCTGTTTCTGACAAAGCACTGTTTTGAAAATATTTTTCCAGTTTGTCCCCTAGGACAAAGCACAGTATGTATAGCAGAAGTTTATTTGACCAAACAGATAGTCTCCTGCAAAACTGTATCGAGAAACATTTTGAAAAGGAAAAAACAATGCATTTGTAAACATTTTTAAACTATTTTGCTTCAAATATGATCATGATCTTTTTCTCTTAATGTTACTTTGTAAGATGTCAGAAATATTTGTGAATAGTTGAGATACCTTGTCCTTATTTTAAAGTAATCAGTAAAGGAGGCTGTTACTTGCTACTAATTGGAAATCTTGTTTTCATTTCTGGATCGAAAGTCTCATTTTTATTGCAGTGAAATGAACCAAGAGATGACAATTCAACCAAAGTGAAGTTGCTACCAGATTTAAAAATAAAAGCAGGTTTCACTGTAATATGACAAGAGCATTTATATGTATTACTCAAAAGGAAGAATGACAATTTTCAACCTAGCTTTTTTTAAGAACAGTTTCACAGGTAATTTAAGAGCTTCTGCAATACAAAATGTCCATTTTACAAGAAGCAGCAGCTACCAAACTGTTATATTCTCTGGCATCTGACAAGATTAACACATTTTGGTCTGGTTCATCTACAGTGGATGAAAATGGTCTCTGCCACATATTACTACAGCTTTCTGAGATTGAGGCTCCCTGGTTAAAACAGAAATCTGTCTACTGTCTATCCCCTAGCTCTGCAAGACTGAAAGCGTTTTTTGCTCCTTTACAAGTGGCCCTTGGAACCCAGAACTTGAATGAATTCAGAAGGGAAGCAGAAATAAGTACTCGGGTGACACAAGGAGGATTTGGGGTCTCTGTGTTTTATGAATGCGTTTCATCGTTACGATTAAACAACTAACACAGTAAAGCCTTCTTAACGACTGACAGCTCAGCTGACAGTGGACACTGGGGTAGTCTTCACAAGTCTGGCTCTGAAGTAGCTGCTATGGCTGTAAGTCACTCACCGCTGCAGCTGGTTGTGCCGTGCCGTGCCGCTGTACGTGTCACCTTCTCTAAGCGTGTCCGACGCGACGAGGCCAGGTCGGTCAGCGGTTCTGTTGTGACGATCCTCCAGCTCTCGCTGTGCTTGCCCTTTCAGGCAGCTCCACGCACCTCAGCCGGGAGGGAGCTGGTACTGCCATTTTCATCTGAGCCTCAAGAAAGAGACGAGAATATGGCCTGAGGTCTTCCTGTGAAGTAGGTTATAACTGCCCTTCCTGCTTAGGGTTTAATGAATAGGTAACTGTGCCAAAAGAAATTCCTGCTTAAATACCTAGGCAAGCAGAAGAAATTGCACTAAGTTAACAAGAAAACATTTCTCAAATGCACCGTGTAACCTTTTGCCAGCTTATAATTTAACGTTTTCAAAAGACAAGTTAAACAGTTTTCCCCCAAAAAAGATTGAAAAATAAAGGTTTTTCATAAATTACAGGTACCGTGACCAGTGGCAGTGTGCATTTGCTGACACCAAAGTGAGTACAACAGAAGGGACCGATACAAGATTTTGTTTCCAGGTTCCATTCTATGCACTCACCTCGCCTCTCATCAGAGCCATGGCATTAAGTCACTAGTGAGTGCTTCCAATAAACCCCATTCGTTCTGGAGGAAAGCTTCCCTCGGTTTCCTTCAATAAATGACCCTAGCCTTGGAGGTCAAAACAGTGGTTTTAATATAGTTGGAGATCACAATAACACCCTAATAAGAGTCAGATTAGTCATGAGAAGACAACCCTGAGCAGGAGAATGCTCCTGACAGCAGCCTCCGTTGTCCTGCTCTGTCCTCAGGGAGAAAAGACGCAACCGCAGCAGCTGCCTCCAACCCCAGTGCCAGGTCTCTCTCCATACGCCCCGTTATCGGTGGTTCCTCCCTGCAAATGAGGCACAGTGATTGTCTCAAAGACTGCTAAAATTAGAGACTTTGGATCAAGCTATCAAGCATGGTGACAGTCACTTTGAAATGTGTTCACTCTGCATTTGAAGATATACAAGATAAACTATAGCTGGCTGTCTTTAAAATTTTAATTGTGAATGTTGGAAAGAGTCATTAATTGTCAACTGAGACCCAGTTAAATCCTATGCAATTTTTATTTATATAGATCTACATCTCAAACACCAAATTAGCAAAGTTTTCCTGGTAATCGGAACGCTTTCTTACCTGCTGTTTCATCCTGATGTCCTGTAGTCACACAAGGTTTTATGACCTCAAATGTTCCACACCAATTAAAAAAAAAAAAAAAATCAAGATGAGCAATGCATTGGTGTAAACCCGCACCTTTAGAAGGCAATAATGGACATTATGGTGGTAACTTCCAGTAGTGGTCTGAAAGAAGACAGAAACCTCCTCGTGCTTTGAAAGTGAGTACATTCTCAGAGCACACCTACTGCCTCACACTGACCTAGCAGTAAGTGAGGAACCGCTTTATTTGGTTGAGAGCAAGACGCCGACGGACTGCAGATCTTCAGAGGATGCAAAGACACCTTTAACGGTACAGACTGACGCACCTATAGAGTTCAGACACCAGCTCCTTGTAGGTTTTCAGGATTACAAGTTCAAAATTAATCAAATCACCTTCTAGCTGCTCTGCTCTTACCAATTCTTGCGCACTTGTATGACCTCTTCCAAGCCCAAACCCTGTTCCTTCGCTTTGAAACAAATTGTCCTCTAGACAGTGCTCTTGCTGGTTGCTTTGGGCTGAGATAGCCTCTTTTTTGAAAGACTAACAGTTTATTTTTTATTTATCTCTCTTAAACTTAACAAACAGCCTGGGTAACATTACTGAGATCAGGATAGCAGTTTCTTTTCATAGCAAATAACCCAATGACTGGATCCGAGTGCTCACTGGACTGTTTACGTTAGGTTGCCTTTTTTCTCCTAAGAAATCTCTAATTTAACTCCCAAGAGCCAGACGGGATATCATGCTTACACATGCCTGATACAGGTCAAAAGTACAGATCTGTCCCTCATTTTCTTAATAACGTGTCAAACGACGAAGCAAAGTGGACCTGAATTTTCTAAATAAAGACCAAAATAATTCCCTGCTCTACAGATCAGGCACTCCCCATCATTATTTTTCCTCAGGTTGCTTCCCAATTGTAGTTAAGAATCAACCAATTCTTTCTTTACTCTTAGCAATATTTAACCTCATTCTGTAGTACATGGGCAGATTTTTGCCACTTTACTGTTTTCCTGTAATCCAGCTATTAAAGGACTCCCCAAGACCCAGGAACAAGGCTCCGTTGCCATCAAACCACTCTTCTACAGCTACCACAGACACCACATCCCTAGAGCAAAAGGGCCATCGCTGGACTCTACGTACCGGGAAACATTATGTATCATTGCATGTGCCGTGTGCGCGCACGCATGCGTGTTGGTCCCACCAGGCTGAGGCCAGTATGAAGTGTTGGAGCAAGGAAGCCAAG